TACTCAAGATGGGGTCATTGGGGTGGACCCTAATCCAATCATTGGTGTCCTTAGAAGAGAAATTTGGACACAGCACAGAAGGAAGATTATGTGAAGTCACAGACACTGAGAAGGCCATGTGAATATGGAGGAAGAGGTTAAAGTGATTCATCTGCAAGCCAAGGATTGGTGGCAGCCCCAAGAGCTTGAAGGAACAAGGAAGGATTCTTCTCTGTGGGCTTCACAGAGAGCAGGGTCCTGCCAACACCTTGGTTTCAGACTTCTAGGCTCTAGAATTGCAAGCAAAAAAGTGTCTGTTGTTTTAAGTCACCCAGTTTGTGGTACTTAAAACATCCCTGGGAAACTAATACAGAATGAAAACATATAACATGAAATGTGAATTTGTTGCCTCCCATCTCTGAAGCACTACCTAATAAAGACTTGATGAAAATATTTTTACAAAAAAATTAAGAGATCCATGTATTTACACTAGTAAGGTTCAAATTAATATATGCCAAGTAGCTAATACTTTTGAATTAAATGTAGTTCTACCACCCAGATTAGTGTTCCCTGCTTGCAGACAAGATGAACCTTCTTTTTAGCAAATTGCTTATTTAGTGTTTCCCTTTAATTCTGAGCATTCTCAAAAATCAGTCACCATTCTATCACTGAGTCACAACAGTTCCATAGAATGTGGTTTTTAAAGATTCACCATTTGCAAAGAGAAACAGGACTTTGGGTTATAATTCAATTATGTTCTCTTTTTTTCTGGATGAAAGGTTTCATTTTGAAAAGAATCAGGCTAGACCAACTCAAATTTCATAAAATGAGATCTTGATATGATGTAGTCCATCAGAGCACTAAGAACATTTTGCAACTTGCTAAGGATAATAAAGATTCAGAGAAACTACATAAAACATGAGGAAGAAGGGACACTTTCTATAAGGTAAGAGGAAATTTTAAAAGACCATATTACTTTTAAAAGAAATCCTAATCACCAAAATACATGACATTGTTTTTTGTGGCACCCATGTGAAAAAGGTTAAAGCTGTCAAGGTATGTCAGAAGTTTGCAGGAAATGAGCCCATAATAAGTCTCAAAGAGTGTACATTCTTTCCAACTGTTAATTTTTTTCCATGCCAGAGGCATTTCAGCACCTATAGTTTCTGAGGATGTGAAAATGAACTTATAGCAACATCTGTTGTATCTGATATGCCTTTTTTCAGAAAACCTTGAACTGTGGATTGGTATAAGGCCAATGGACTTGGCACAAATTCCTACAAACACATCAGCAGGCACCATAATAGGTACTTCTTTAAAAACCACATACATCATCCGAGCCACATCTTGGGACATAACAGAGGCCTCACCACTGCAGTAATCTGGGTAGTACTTTTCTGGGTACTCACTAAAAGGTACAAATTCTTGACTGTTAGGATCTCTGTTGGATGTATCCTGCTGGATAACTCTTCCTACATAGATACCTTCAAGATGTTCTTTCAGATTGAGAAGATAGTCTACCAGGCTTGGTAGATTGACCAACATCTCATCATCAACTTTGAGAATGAACAGGGCATTAGGGCAGAAGGTCACAGCCCACTGCATTGTCACTGTGATCTTCAAGATTTGGTTCTTAGCACTGTCCAAGAAGATTCCTTCAATTATATCATTATTCTTTTGGGACTCTGTCTATCTCTTGCTGGGTAGTTACCAAAACAGGCATTCCCAATGTAAACAGTGTGAGAAGGTGGTGCCCTCATACACTGGTCACGTTACCCCAGGTTTTCCTGATGAGGTCACGCCTTGTTCCATTTCCTGGGCTACTGAAGATAAGAGAGAGCAAAAAGATATCCTTCCATTTACATATCTCTGACTGGCTCAGGATATAATATTTGGAAATATTACTTCTTAGAGGCTCCATGTTCAATTTTCTTGCCTGATCCTTAATTTCAAGAACTTTCATATCTACATAAGGTAAAGCATGCAGAAAGTATTCTTCCACAAAATCAGCCCCAAAAAGCAAGGCATGAAATAGGATGACATTAGAATGAAACAGCACTGGTGGGTCCAAAGTCTGCAGAATGTCACCTAAATAAGAAAAGAATACATGTTCAAAGCTTCATCTCCATTCCTGTTTTGGCCCCCATTGAATGCTATATGTACTTCTCACAGCACTTGGCAGTACACTATTTTAGGTGTTTACTATTATTTATTTTTGTTAGCTGTCTCCCACTAGATCATGGTCCCTGGACAGTAGGCATCATGCCTCTCTCTTCTCCAGTGCTACTGAGTGCAGTGTTTGGCACAAAGTAGAAACTGAATGAAATATTAGTTGGTTGTCTTGCCTGTTTGGATGCAATCCTATTTACCATATACAAGGCACTGTGTTAGAGGCTGGGGAAGCAAAGGGGAATCAGACATAGACACATGGATATACAGTAACAGGTGGCATGATTGTGCTGAAAGCCTACAGGAAAATATATGATGTTCTTCCTGTAATTGAAGCACTTGGATCCATTTCTTCTCTAATTACACAGGTCAAGGGCTATTTTTCCATGAAGTGGTTGCTTTTGTTAGCCACTGCACAATGGCTACTATCATTTACATTCTTCTAGCATGACTTTCCAATGTACGTAATATTGAATTCTGACATTGTCTGTTTTGACAGTGTTCCTAGTCTATCTGACATGTCTGTCAACAGGGGCAGATTCCTACTATCTGCATAGCAACCCTTCAGAGATCTAGGGTGGACTGTGCTCAGCTTACTACACCTCATCAGAGGAGATGGAAACTTTCCATTTGGAAGGGCATATGTAGTATTGTAATATAACAGAGCCAGGGAACATTAAAGGAATTAAATCTCTTCATTGATTTGATAAACAAAGCCTCCCATAATAATAGTTACCTGGTATTGGGCACTTGTAGTGTGCCAGGCACTCTGCTAAGCACTTTACATACCTTCATTCATTTAGCCCTGGTAATAAATATCCCTTTCAGATAGGCTGTCTTCAAAATTAAGCTGAGCATCCAAGTGCTTTGGTGATGTGCCCAAGATCACTCAGTGGGTAGGGGGTGGGGTGGGATCATGATTTGAACTCAATTTGTGAGATTTCAAAGCTCACTCTTAATCACTGAGAATCCTGCTCCCATCTTTTGCTTGTCCATGTCTGTTGAATAGAAAAAAACTACTGTAATTATCATCAGAACTCCTTTCCATTTTTCAGTGCTGATGATTTGTACATGGCAGACACTTCTGCTTCCTGAAAACCTGGTTTAACAGATATCAGATGCTTCAAAGATTGTAAGAAACTTACCTGCATGTTGTCTGTGAGCAATTTCAGGACTTTGGAAATCACTGAGTCCAGATGCCAAATTATACCCCGATGTATCTCACTCCAGTCTAACAGTACTTTTGAAGTAAAGTATTTTGTGCCTGAGACTTACAGGGTAAGGTTTCTTGCCAATCAATGTGAGCTTTTCTCCCAGAATACCTGGTGCTCCATAGGAGAGCAAGTGCTGATCATGTTACAGCCAGAGTGAATCCAGGACAAAGAGCAGAAAAAAACAAACCTCTTCAAATGCTTCCAATCTTGGGTACCTCTTAAAACTTACCCCTTGCCTTTACGCTGACTTCCTAGTGAAGTGGGAGTCAAAAGAATGGCTCATGGACGCCACCTCTCCACAGCATATCACACAAAGAGAAATGTTCTGCAGTGTATTTTGAAGTGCTCTCAAGAAACTAAGCACTTGGAGTAGTTCCTGCTCCCTGGTACATGCACATGCAAAAAATGTACTAAACATCAAGGAATACTTGTCATACCTAGTGGGTACATTTTTTTCCTCCCAAAAGAAACATTATATGGTGAGGTTTGGTGTATGTCTCATTGGGAAGGATTTTGTATTCCTAGTACAGGCTATGCAAAAACTTCACTCAATCAATTATATAGGTCATCATATATAATTTATATTATAATTATTTATATATTATATATATATATCCCAGGCAACCTCATCTCAAAATGGAAAACATGTAGTCCATTTTAGTTGGAACTGAAGAAACTAAGCATTTATTTGCCATTTTTCTAGAGCATGTATGTGTGGGAATTATCCAAAATACCGTTTCTACCAGCAAGTTTAAGGAAAGAAACAACATCCAGCCTATTTTCATGTTCCTGTCACACGAGCAGTGGTACCTAGAAGTCTGTTCTCAGGCTAGGCTGTATTTCATCTTTTCCTTTTCACATGTTGATATTCTAACCTGCCATTCACAGCAACTTTTGTAATGATTTCGCTGTGAGGAACTCACTATATTTTAAGTTGGCTATGTTTTCTCAACGGTCATCGTGCAATCTTGGACATTTTTATAAAGTGGGAAAGTCAGGAATTTTTTTTTTCATTTACCCTACACTTTAGAACAGTGTTTGAGACATATTAGGTGCTCCGAGGTTGTGTGACTTGGACAGGTCTCTGGACATCTCACTCTCCTTCGTAAAGTGAGATATGTGCCACACAACTGGTACGGGATTAGATCTGCCAAATTCGGACACACCACGAGAAAGTAAGGTTTGGACCACGTGCCACAGGCCTAAGGGGTACAGAGCACGCCCCGCCTGCCTCCCCGCTCTTCCCGGCCCTGCCGTTTTCCCGCTCGAGGAGGGGGCCGGAAGTGCAGTCGCATCCGCCGGGCGCCGCGGGCGGAGGGACGCGCGGAGATGACGCAACAGCACCGGAAGCCGCTCCCCTGTGAGGTTGTAGACCCCGAGCGGCGGCCGCTGGTCCGGGTCTGTGTAGGAGGAGGGGACGGTCTGGGGAGGGGGATTAACGGCGCCCGCGCCTCTGCTGACCCGCCGTCCCTTTGGCCGTTTGTCTTTCTCTCCCTGCAGGCGCCATGGCTGCGGAGCGGACCCGGCCGCTGCGAGGCTCTGGCGGCCCGAGCGCGCCTAGTCGGTGTGAGCCCGGCGCGAGGTCCCGGGCCCCGGGGCGCTCGCTCAGGTCAGTGCCGCGCGGAACGCGGCTCCGGGAACGGGGGACCTGGGAGCCACGAACGGGTTGAAGGGACCTGGAGTTGATTTTAGAGATGGGAAAATTGAGTCTCGGAGTTACTGTTTTTAGTCCCTCAGTTTCCTTAGCTGCGAAATGAGTTAATGATGTTCCAAGGCTGCGATGAGTTTGAAAGATAATGAAGTGTGGAGAGGTGATTTATGAAGTACAAAGCGCTGTATTAATGTGAGGGACTGCGCCATAGTTGTGGGTATACCATGGACACAGGTGTGTATGTGGGTTGCTGCTTGAAATAAAAATAACAGTGTTAATGCCAAAGAATTGATACCTGGCATTTCTTGTAGGCTTACAGTGTTTTGGGTACCGGGCTAAACGCTTTACATGCATTTTCCTCTTTCATCCCCACAGAAACCCTAGTAGGGAATGCTGTTGGTGGTGACGCTTTGCAAGTGAGGACACTGGACTTGAGATAGATGAAGTGATTTGCCTAGGGTCACCCAAGCAACAAGTGGAGTTGCAGAGCCCATATTTCATAAATACTATTTGTATTCTTTCAAAGCTGTTTTTATTCCTCTTAGAGCTAAAGGCAGCTTTTAAATAGTATATTCACGTGGTTTTAAATTCAGGAACGGGTCCCTCACTTGTTCCTCAGCTCTCCAGTTTTCTTTGGAGGTAACCAATTAAAAAGATGTTTTGTGCATATACATCTTTATATATATACACACACACATATATATATGTACATGTATATAAATATGTATATATAACACATATATAAACTTAGAAATGATATTTTCAAAACCTCTGTATTCTAAGTGCTGCTGATTATGCTTGAAAAGAAAAGAGACGGAAGGTGAAGCCTCCTCCCTAGCAACAAATGTCTTGCTTTCACTCTTGACTAGGACAGGTCCTTGTGGAAGAGAGGAATATGCATTCATGATGTTTCATCCAAAATGTACCTCTAGTAAGACCTAGAGGTATAGGTTTACTTCTGTTTTGGAAGGGTGGAGGCTGGGCACGATTTTAGCCTGCTACTTGCTGTGGGACCCTGGGAAAGTCACTCCACTTCTTGGGACATAAATTTCTTATTTATTAGTTCAGAGCACTAGTACTGATACCTTTGTGAGGTTGTGAAAATCGGATGAGGTAATGTCAATGAGTAGTACTTTAGTTTTTACCCCAATACAAATATGAGAATTGCCTAAGGAAACTTAAGGGGTTAATAACAGAACCAGAGACCAAACCCAGGTTTCCCATCTCCCAACTGAGGAGTCTTCTCATCACACCACCCATTTCAGAGCTTTGTTAATGTTGAGGGCAGAAGGGCAAGTTTAATGTTTAGTCTGAAGTGGGGGTAAAAGGGGAAGACAGCTTGGAGTGTGGAGAGAAAAATGCCCTTAGTGTTAAAGTGGAGCCTCAAGTCAGTAACTCCTTAATTATAAAATTAAACTCTTAGTAAGTTTGAGCCCTTGGGTTTTTCTCCCATATTGTTTTAATTCATTTTAAGAGAAACTTTGTGATAAAATCATACGGTTGAAAGGGGTATTAGTGCTCATGTACGTTCCAGTTTCAGGGACACTAAAAGCTTTCCTCCTGGGTATTCATAGAAATAAAACTTAACAAGAAGTACCGTTGAGTTACCCTAGACTGGGCTCTGTGTGAATCATGTCCCTGCTATATTTCTGATTCTTAGTAGGTGAGTGATAGCTTCCGTTTTCCAGATGGCAAAAGTGAAGCTTAGCAGTTAGTTGAAATGCCCATGATCACATGGGAAGTGGCTGAATCAGTAAAGGATTTGACTCGAAAGCATTTCATTTAGATCATTCTGCCTCTCTATCTAGCTGTCCTTGGCTGCTGCTCCCAGTCATGGAAGCTTACCACTGTGGAGGCGGCTGTTCCCTTATTGGGAAGGTCTGATGATTTAAAAGCTCCTCCTTAATGTTGAATTGAAGTCCTGCTTCCTGAAGTTTTCCCTTTGGAGCGTTATGCTGCCAGTACTTAATATTCCCAGGGGTACTCTAAAAGAGTTCAGTTTAGACCTGTGACATTAACAAAATCCCTTCCAAAGTGAGTTGACTTTTTTTTTCCAGAAAAGTAAAAACTGATGTTTTTTAATAGTGCATTCTGCAGAGCTAGAAGGGCCTGCTTTATTTTTAAAAGATACCTTTATCATGACAATCAGAGATGAAGAACTTGTAAACAGCCTCCCATATGGGGTTCAGGAGCTTAAAGGGCAATCTCTAGTACAAGATTTGGGAAAAAATTTTTCTGTTAGAAGTTAGAAGATCATGTAAATCTCAGGAACGATTGGGTTTTTTTAAAGGTGCTTATTGGAAAGCTTGTCCCTTAATCCTCTATGGTGTTGTGAGCACATTAATTTGGCATGCTATAGATGTCTTTTAGTTATTTGTGAATGAAAAGGGTAAGACAGCGTGGAGCGTGAGTAGAATGGAGAGAAAAATGCACCTAGTGGGAAATTATAGCCTCAAGTTGATAGGGAACCTGCTAATGTTTTCATGGGTATTATAAATTGACCTTGTAGCCATTTAAATAATAACACATATTACATAAATGTAAACCTTTCTATGGTTTGGTGTATGTTTTATTTAGCTAGTATTAATTAATTAGCTGTTACGACATTGTGAATGTCCACAGAAAAGGATTGTTTAATCTTGCTGTGAGTGATTTTTTTTTAAGCAAAAATTTTCCAGAAATGTTACAGATATAAGGTAGTTTGGATTCACAGAAAGGAGGAAGCTTGTTATCTTGTGTTAAGTTGATAAAACTTTTGGTGAACTGATTATTTTTTGGCAGAAAGGTAAATCCTAACATTAATAAATCCTACCTAGCCCAAACTCAGGCTTCAAGAATAGTATTTTAAAGTCCAGTCACTTTCAAAACCAAAACTGTTAGATAGCTGGTGATATGATTGGACTATAGGCAAATCACTTACCTTCTCTGACCTGCATCTTCCTCATCTGTAAAGTGGAGATGATGACACCTGTTTTTTGGTGTCTTGTCAGCATCTGGATAACTAATTTGACTTGTTTGTGCAGGCTTCCAGAACCCTCATGGCTCTCTGGGGTACATGGTTAAGAGTTGTCACCAGCTCTTATGAGACTTATGAAAACAAACTGTGTGAGGCCAAATAAGGCCTTTGGTACTTCATGTTCTAACGGGCAGTGCCATAAAGGAAGTAGAAGGACCAAAATACCTGAGCCACATAACTTACTACATCTGCTTATTTTTCTTACCCATCCCTTTTTTGCCTGAACATCTGTTGCAAAAGCCAGTAGTCAGTTCTGTGATTTTGGTGCCAGGTCAGGTTGTGCCTAGCATGATAATTAATGTCTCATGTTACTGCTCAGGAGACTTGCTTTCTTGTTGTCAAATCCTAGTACATACTTTTGTAATTTTTAATGCCTAAATAGAGTGTTAAGGACATTTTGTTATGCTGGTTGTGATGGGGGTAGGGGAGGTGATGTTAATCTGTAGAATACACTCTTTCATAATGAATGAATACTTTGTAAATCTACTGTGAAGATGCATGTAGCATGTGCTAGGTTTCAAAAAGAGCAAGTCACACACAGCAACATTTTATGTTTCAGAGACTACGATTTGTTAAAGTATATTTTCTCAAATATATTTTCTTTCATGTGCATGGAAAATTTTCTGATGAGTATAGTGTATTAACTGTAAAACTGTAATGTAATAAATAACCAAGTATAAAGTTGTAATGCCAAGTTTTTTACACTAATTTTTAATACTTCATTTATTAGCAGTCTTGCTTGAATGGTCTTTTTGAGCAGAACTAATACAATATTTTGATGTGCCACAGGTAAATTTTTCCATAACCTTATGGAGAGAAAGGACTTTGAGACATGGCTTGATAACATTTCTGTTACATTTCTTTCTCTGACGGACTTGCAGAAAAATGAAACTCTGGATCACCTGATTAGTCTGAGTGGGGCAGTCCAGCTCAGGCATCTCTCCAATAACCTGGAGACTCTCCTCAAGCGGGACTTCCTCAAACTCCTGCCCCTGGAGCTCAGTTTTTATTTGTTAAAATGGCTCGATCCTCAGACTTTACTCACATGCTGCCTCGTCTCTAAACAGTGGAATAAGGTGATAAGTGCCTGTACAGAGGTGTGGCAGACTGCTTGTAAAAATTTGGGCTGGCAGATAGATGACTCTGTTCAGGACGCTTTGCACTGGAAGAAGGTTTATTTGAAGGCTATTTTGAGGATGAAGCAACTGGAGGACCATGAAGCCTTTGAGACCTCATCGTTAATTGGACACAGTGCCAGAGTGTATGCACTTTACTACAAAGATGGACTTCTCTGTACAGGTAAGAGACTGGACTGTTTTGTTTTCTTTTGCATTTCATAGGGTGTAATCTTACTTGAGAATGGCGAGTATTAATTATATGAGAGATCAATGATGGTATTTCCCTGCCACCCATCCCTGAATGGTTTTTCCCCTTTATCCACTTTTCTTCCAGGGAGAATGGTCATTTTTATAAAATTTTATGAGAAGGAAGCCCAAGACATTCTTTCATACATTATGTAATTCAGAAAGCCTTAATTTTTTTTTTGGTTTTTCTTCCATGGAGAGTCCTCTGTGTTAACTTTTTGTCTTTTAGCATTGATTTTCTGGAAGAACCAGTATAAGAGTTAGTGTCTAGTCCTTGCAAGTAGTTAGATCATCATGGAAGAATTACTTAACCTCTTCGTGTTTGTTTCTCATGTCTATAAAATATGGGGAGGGAGGGATTTCTTTCTTCCTTTAAAATCCTGTGGTTCTGCAGTATAGGTAGGTCACGGGGGAACGCAGTACAGCATGGGGAAGACAAGTAATGACTCTGTAGCATCTTACTACGCCAACAGACAATGTGTACAGTGGGTGGGAGGGGACCTGATAATATGGGTGAATGTTGAAACCACAATGTTGCTCATGTGAAACCTTCATAAAATGTGTATCAGTGATCCCTTAATTAAGAAACAAAATCCTGTGGTTCTGAGAAGAATTAGAAGTTAAGAGGTTTAGAGTTTGGGCATGGGAATAAAGACAGTTGGATATTTTTAAGCTGGCAAGTAACTTTATGTAACAAAATAATCATTAAAATTTAGAATTTTGTGTATCTTCCAATTATAGTGGGCATGTGTTTCTACATATGATTATTACAGTGTCCACATTTTAGGCAGTACATTTTGACATTGCAAATGATACTTAGACAGTGTTTAGAATGGCTGGAGGCCCTTATCAGGGATCCCACTGCTTACTCACTTCCATTGTATATAATATATAGGGATACTCAATATTCTTTCTTCATCCGAGATAATTTCTAATAAACATTTGAATATTAACTGAACTACATACTTGGCATTTTTAATAGTATATATACTGTGCCTTTGGGTAAATATATCATTGTTTAGCCATTTCCATATATTAGTGCATACTCAGGTTGTTTGCTTGTTTTTTTGGGGGGGGGAGTGGGCAGAGCTTCAAAGTAGAATCACCAGATCCAGAAATAGGCATGATTTTATAGCTCCTTTGAGGGTCCTTTCCAGATGGACTAAACTGATACCATGCCCACAGCAAAGTCTTAAGTAACCTGCTTCTTCCTCAGAGTCCTTCCAGACTGATTTTTACTGTTTTTACTATTAAAGAGATGTATGATTGCTCAAGATTGTTTTAAAATTGCATTTCTTTATTTAGTGAGGATTTACATATTCTCATTTGGTGATATATTCTCTGAAATGCTAGATAACTTTACCAGTTTTAAAAAAATAGTATTAAATTCAAGGCATTTCATTGTTTTGTCATCCTGAAGTTACTCCATGCTTCCATTATTTTTCCTGCACTATAAGCCTGATTTTTGGAGCAGTGGCATCTGTTCTTCTATACTTTAATGTACTTTTCTAGTTGTGGTTATCTAGTCCATGCCCTTTTTGCCTCATGATCAATGGCAGGTATTTTTTAAAGATGCGGTATTGCCTTTGAGCTTGGTGTTCATTTGCACTTAGGTGAATACTGGCAGTTGACTCATTTTCAGAACTGGCTCTAGCTTTTTGAAAAATTTCTCATCAAACTTTCCTTTTGAGATGCAATAAAACCTCATTTATTTGGAGCAGAAGTGAATAGGACACATTCAGTGAATTTTTTAACTACTTGGAAAAGTTAATATCTATAATAAGTGTGGGCCCAACCCTGTATTTTAAGATTATTCTCTAGGTAGGCCTGTATGTTATGTTATTTTTAATTCTGATTAAATTGATCAAGTTTGCATATTGAAAATCATGCGCTGTTGAAAATGATCCAAAGTATTAGTTTAATTTTTCTAACAGCAGCATCCCTGGGACTGTTAACTAGCGAGAGAAGTATTTGTTATAGAATTTTAAGTGTGTTTTTGTCATCTTGTTACTTAAGTGCTTGTATTTTCACTATAGTTGAATTAGGAAATTCTGAATTTGGCAGTAAGCTTGCAGCAACCCTCAGATTAGTCTCTTGAATAAGCAGTAAAATAGTATTGCCAAACGGATTGGTGGCTAATGCTAACAATCAGCTTGGTATAGATTGAATGAGATAGTTATCCTTCTACCTGTTGTGCTTATAAAATGCCTACTATGAGAAAAATAATGTGAGGGCACACACAGATGAATTAGAGCAGTTCTTTGCTCAGAAGACATATACACTGAAGGTAATCTGCCAACCTGACAAACTAAAAATAAAAGTCTTCATCTGAACTTAGGCTAATCAGAGAATACTTACCCTTCTAGAGAGAGAGAGGGTAGCTGCTGCTCTACTGTAGTGAATTATTGCCATGTGGGATTCAGGCCCAGAGTTGTCACATCTGACTTTTTATGAGAATTCCCAAATCTAAATTTTGTAAAGTGTCCTGGTTTTTATTAAGTAGTGATTCTTAATTATCATTCAAATTTTAAAATATTGTGGTTGGTCATATTCACCCTGCAGGCTACCGTATTGTGATCTCTGGCTAATAACTCAATAAGAACAGCAAGAGCTATAAAAGACATATGACCAAATGATATAGTTGAATTATAAGAGGAAAAAAAAAGATCATGTAGTTGCTCAGGGGAAGGAGTGATTTCTTCCATTTGGTAAAATTGAGTAGTGTTTATGTTGAGTCCTAAAGAATGGATAGATTTTAGAGAAATGAGAGTAAGGGCTTCCAATGGGAAGATGAGCATTAGCAAAGGTAGGAAAGGGCTAAGCATGGAGCGTGTAGGGAGAAAATAAAATTCATTTTAGCTGAACTCTTAGGATTTAAGTAGGGACTCTAAAAAACTCTGAGAGTATAAACTGAAGAAATAGGCTTCGGTTTTGTTGTGAAAGCCTTGAATGCTGGGAACGTGAGTTTGGATGTTTTTCTATAAGCAATAAGAAAAAACTATGAAAGATTTCTGAGCAGAAAAGGGGCCAGGATCAGAGCTTCCTGCTTGAAGTAGATCAGTATTTCTTATTTCTGTCAGATCCAGGTCCTTGTTTTAAAAAAAAGCATAATTCACTAAATTCTCTTATCTTGAGTAAAATTCATAGAAATAACGTGCCTATACATACAGATATTTTAAAAATCAATATAATGTCTAAACTCTGATCCAGAGGAGAAATACGAGGGCTGTGATTTAAAATAATGCACGTTAAATGTGTAGTGCTCAAGCTCAGCTGTGATAGAAGACAGTAATGTAATCAGATGTTTACCCCTATATGTACTGTCATTGTGTACATGACAGCTATAAATGCAGAATTTTGTATTTGTGCTGCAGATAACGTCAGAGATGTGATCTATAGTCAAATGGTGAAAAACTTTTAGCAGAGTTCTCAAGAAAGCACAGTACATCTTTCCTCAGGTTACTTGGTAGTTCCATTTATAGGAAATTCAGAATAAACTGCAAATAAGCCTTGTAAAATAGATTCTAGGCTAAGATAACTAAGAACAAGCTTTTCACTTACGAATATCCGCAGAACTTTGAGGAATGCCATGCAGAATACAAGGCAGTTCTTTTTGTGCACTGTCGCAAACATCACAGGATGTCTAACATTCCTGGCCTCTGCCCAGTAGATGCCAGTAATGCTCTCCCCCACCAGGCATTGTGACAGTTGAAAACACCCCTACAAATTTCTAAAATATTCCCTTAGGAGGTGTTATTATTTCTACTAAGGCCTTCTGACATAGACAAAGCTAGAGCTTCCAAATTAAAGTGTTAGCCTGTTACAGTTTAGATAAAGGGGAGTAAGTCTAGTTTTAGGATAATAAGACTAGAGATTTTTAAAAGGAGCAATTGGATGAAAGAGCAGCCTCTGAACTGAATTTACAAAATTTGACAATGGATTGTGTATGTAGCAGGGAAAAAGGAGGTTTCAAAAACGGCAGAGGATTCTAGCTGTGTGTATGCCTGGGAAGATAGTAGTACTAGTAACAAGAATAAAAAATGAAGGAATAAATCCAAGAGGACAGATGGAGTTCAAGTTGGGATGAACTTAATTCAGTTGGATGTGTAAGTGGAGATTCCCGTAAATAACTGGACCCTCAGGGTCAGGGCTTTGGGGAGTGCTCAGAGAGAAAGGTTTAGGAGTTAGTCACATCACAGCTATGGCTGTAACAGTGAAACTTTAAAAGGAGATATAGAGAGGAAAGAGTAGAGCCTAGCTAGGATGGATCCATGAAGAGTGCACTTAGAGAAAGGGGAGCAGTAAAGAAACAACGGTGAAGAGTTTCAAGGAGAATGAGCATTGCCTTTCTTAAAGAGGCACTCAGGACTGTTTATTCAGTTGGTCGACAGTCAGATGTCTCAGAGAGGCATTTGAGAGCTGGATTTGATTCTACCAGTTAAATATCTAAACTTAGCTTAACACAATAGTTTACTTGATATCAATTGGGTTACAGTTCATTTTCTGCTTACCTTTGTTGCACTCATCCCTGTCATTTTTTATATCGGAAGTATTGTTTTCATGCAGTCTTACGAATCGAGGGCTTCTTTTTCCTTTCATGTAATGAAAGTTAGTCTACATTTATTTAGTCCCCTTTTGTCTCTAGGCTTCATCATCAGATGATCTTGAAAACATGTAGATGCAAGGCAAATTAAGGCTGCAGATGGGAGTCCATAGGGTGCAGGTTGACATAAAGCCAAAAAGGAGCAGAGAATAATAGCTCCTAAAGGCTCAGCAGTTAAGAGTAGACTTGTACCACTATAAAATGAACTCTACCTGATTATTTTCCAGTTTCTTTAGGGTGTAAAACTGAAGGCCCAATATTTTTCTATGAAAACTAGTTTAAATAATTAGTTTGGATAATTCCCATCCCTTTTAAATAAAACTGTGGTAAAAATATACAAAAGATTTATCATTTTAGCCCTATTTAAGTATACAGTTCAGTGCCATTAAGTACATACCCATTGTACAGCCATCACCACCTTCCATCTGCAGAGCCTTTTGCATCTCACCAAACTAAAACTGTACTCATTAGTTGAACACTTATCCCTATTCCCTTCTCCCCTTAGCCCCTGGTAACCATCATTCTATTTTCTGTCTCCATAAACTTGACTACTTGAGGCACCTAATATGGGTGGAATCATACAGCATTTGTCATTTCATGACTGACTGACTTCACTTCCTTAATATCTTCAGGGTTCATCCATATTGTAGCATATGTCAGAATTGTCTTCCTTTTTAAAGCTGAAGAATATTGTTTTATGTGTATACCATATTTTGTCTTTCTTCTCTCCTAGTTTTTAACTACCTTTCCTGTGTCCAGTTTTGCCCTCCTTCAAACCATTCTCCATGATGCAACCATAGGCATCTTTCAGAAATGCAAATAAAGTCGTAGTTTAACATCCTCCTGAACCAGTCCTCCAACCTAATCTTGCCACTATTTCCCAGTCATCCTGAACTGCTTTTATTATCAATGTTTGTGTTTTACACAATGAATTTTGACAAGCATTGTAAATAATTCTTAGGCAGTTTTTAGAATAGTTCCAAATAGTTATGAATTGACCCCAGTGTCAATTCACATATATTTAATATGCAGAGATACTTAATAGGCACTTTAATAGGTATATACCAGGGATTTGCAAACAGCAAACTTCAGAGCCACATCTAGCAGAGTAGAGTAATTCTGCTAGAGAATTACTATGCCAACAGACTGTAAGGCTCAAAAAACCTAAACTGTTTACTATCTGGTCTTTTACTAGAAAAAGTTCTGCTGACCATTTGCATATACTGCCCCCCCCGGCAGGGGCAGCAAAGGGAATTTTTCATCCTTTAGAGTTCAACAGTTAAAACTCGATGAAAGTTATGCAGTGCTTTTTGAGCCTTTTGCATCTCACCAAACTAAAACTGTACTCATTAGTTGAACACTTATCCCTATTCCCTTCTCCCCTTAGCCCCTGGTAACCATCATTCTATTTTCTGTCTCCATAAACTTGACTACTTGAGGCACCTAATATGGGTGGAATCATACAGCATTTGTCATTTCATGACTGACTGACTTCACTTCCTTAATATCTTCAGGGTTCATCCATATTGTAGCATATGTCAGAATTGTCTTCCTTTTTAAAGCTGAAGAATATTGTTTTATGTGTATACCATATTTTGTCTTTCTTCTCTCCTAGTTTTTAACTACCTTTCCTGTGTCCAGTTTTGCCCTCCTTCAAACCATTCTCCATGATGCAACCATAGGCATCTTTCAGAAATGCAAATAAAGTCGTAGTTTAACATCCTCCTGAACCAGTCCTCCAACCTAATCTTGCCACTATTTCCCAGTCATCCTGAACTGCTTTTATTATCAATGTTTGTGTTTTACACAATGAATTTTGACAAGCATTGTAAATAATTCTTAGGCAGTTTTTAGAATAGTTCCAAATAGTTATGAATTGACCCCAGTGTCAATTCACATATATTTAATATGCAGAGATACTTAATAGGCACTTTAATAGGTATATACCAGGGATTTGCAAACAGCAAACTTCAGAGCCACATCTAGCAGAGTAGAGTAATTCTGCTAGAGAATTACTATGCCAACAGACTGTAAGGCTCAAAAAGCCTAAACTGTTTACTATCTGGTCTTTTACTAGAAAAAGTTCTGCTGACCATTTGCATATACTGCCCCCCCCGGCAGGGGCAGCAAAGGGAATTTTTCATCCTTTAGAGTTCAACAGTTAAAACTCGATGAAAGTTATGCAGTGCTTTTTGGAGCTTTGTGCAAAAATCATGTTGAACTATTTTCCAGCCTCCTGTGCAACAGCTCCCTTCTTCCTTTCCCCATTTACTTGCTGCCTTAGACCCTGAGCTCTTTAGCAGCACATTTTATGAGCAGCCTTCCTGGGCTCCCAAAGCAGGTTGAGTCCCTCTGCTGTAGGTTTCCTAACAATCTGTATGCTGGGTTATGTAAATCTAGGTTGAATAAAGGAATGACTGAGACCCCAGTTGAACACTCAGAAAGGACCTAAAATGACTTTTCTTCCTTTAACTCCCTAGAAAAACAGTCACAAAATGCCCAAGCTTAAAGATTATCTAGACCTGGCTATTCAGCATAATAGCCACTAGCCACACGTGGCTTTTGAGCACTTGAGATGTGGCTAGTCCAAACTGAGATGTGAAGAAATTGAAATTCTTGCTGGATTTCAAAGATTTAGAATATAAAATATTTATTAATTTTTAAATTTTTTGTATTGATTACATGTTGAAATGATAATATTTTTCACAATTTAAATGTTATGTATATATTTTTTACATTTTAAACTGAATAATAGAAAATTTTAAATTACGTATGTGGTGTGTATTATATTTCTGTTGGACAGCAGTGTTCTAGGTAATTGATTCTCAAAACATTGCTGATGCATTAGAATTACCTGGCAAGCTTTTAAGATGATTGGCCCCCACCTTAGCTATTCTAAAGTAGAATCACTGAAGGTTTTCATGAAGATGATTCTGATGTCTCATGTATCTGAGAACTACCAGAGTCCCATCTCTCATTTTATATAGGGAAAACTGAGTCCCTAAATGGTCAGCTGACAACACATGTAGTCTTCATGTCAGTGCATTTTCACAGGCTCTAACTTGGTTTAAATTTACTCTCTGCCTCTTTCATAAGTGATAGGTATTTTTCCAGGGTCCAAAACAGTGGCTCTTGGCCAACTCTTAAAGACAGAATTGTGGTTGGCTTTATTTAGTCATTTCACCCTTTTGAAAATTGGTCATTTGGTGCTTTCCTGGGATATTCTACCCTTGTCATAGTGACTGTTTACTGTGTCCTCAAAATGTCTTTGATGATTCTTACTACTTCTCTAAAGGTAAATTGTAAGACATGTTAATCATTAGGATTTTAAGTGTAATTGAAGCAAACTCTTGAATTGTCACCATTATCAGAGGCAGAAATAAAACCTACTTTTTTCTGCAGACTCTTTAGAGGCTTTGTAAGCTCACCATTGAGTTACAAATGTCTGGGAATAATTTGTCCCTGGTTTGTTTAGAGGTTCCTTTACACAATTCAAGATGGTCCAAGAAATTAGCATTTAGCCTTTACAGAAGTTAACCCATGATCTGAGGCTTATCTTAGACTTGCCTGGGTGTAGAACATGTTCCAGCAGACAGCTTTCGCATTCAGCATACTTCATTTATTGGGTAATGGACAGGCATGCAAGTGTACACATGCAGGCATAGCTAATACCCATCATTTCAAGCTCAAATCAGAGACCTTACGATAGTCAGAGATTTATGACATTCTACATGCAGAAGCGCCAAGTGGCACTTTAATATAACACTCTTCTATAGCCTGGAAAGTTAAGGGAAAAGGTCTAAACCAAAAAGTTTGTGTTCAGCCCCACATGCCATTAACACAAGACCGTTTTTGGTGACCCCAAACAAGTTGCATTATTGTCTCCGTACTTTGGGTTTCTCAGCTATAAAGTAGGGACACTGCAGGAGGGGACCGGGAAGGTTCTTCTTTAATAATCTGTGGTTTTAAGATTTGTTCTTTTTCTTTAGTGATTGTCTTCTTATGTAACCTCCCTATTTTCTCTTGAAGGGTCAGATGACTTGTCTGCAAAACTGTGGGATGTGAGCACAGGGCAGTGCATTTATGGCATCCAGACCCACACCTGTGCAGCGGTGAAGTTTGATGAGCAGAAGCTTGTGACAGGCTCCTTTGACAACACTGTGGCCTGCTGGGAATGGAGTTCCGGAGCCAGGACCCAGCACTTCCGGGGGCACACAGGGGCGGGTGGGTTGCTCTTTTACGAGGGTTTCTACAGTACTTTAATCTCATGCCTTAAACCAGGAGCCAAGAATGTGATCCCTTTTTTGTTTTGTTTTTTAATTTACCTGTCTTTTATCCCTCCTCTTTCTTAGTCATGGCAGTTATCCCTTTACAAGTTATTCTTATTTGAAATTTTTCCCCTAATTTTTCTTTTCCTTGGCCCATTTTAAAACTCTTCTATGTACCCTTAGGCTGGGAGGAGGGCAGTTCTCCATCTCTCCTATTTCATTTATATCCTGCTAAACAGTCAGTCCCCTTTGCTTTTATCAGATTCCATGTCACCAAACTGAGTAAGTCCTAGACTTGTAAATTCAGTCTCCTTTATTTGTAGAAATAGAGCTGAAAATCCTTTGGAGTGACAGATTGTTATCTACATGTTACTTCAAATTAGAGCTTGGTAGACAGTTGATTAAAACAAGCTAGTGCCTAAAAGATAAGATGAAAGAAACAGATACCTGAATTTTCCTAATAATTTTATAACAACCTTAGTTGCAAAAACTGGTCATTTGAATATATCCTTGAGACCTGAGCTTCTCCCTCTGCTGCAGTGCTTTTTGGAGCTTTGTGCAAAAATCATGTTGAACTATTTTCCAGCCTCCTGTGCAACAGCTCCCTTCTTCCTTTCCCCATTTACTTGCTGCCTTAGACCCTGAGCTCTTTAGCAGCACATTTTATGAGCAGCCTTCCTGGGCTCCCAAAGCAGGTTGAGTCCCTCTGCTGTAGGTTTCCTAACAATCTGTATGCTGGGTTCATAACACTGTCATAGCACTCATCATGCAAGTAAATATAAGAATCTGATTGCTGTTGCAGGCTGTAAGCTCCCGGAGGACTGGGACCCTGCTCATTTTGTTTACCCTTAGGTCCTGAGTTCCTTGCACTATACCTGTTGCTCAGTAATTCTTTGAAATAAACCTAGCAGTTTTATTGCTATAAACAGTTTTTTTCTTTCTTTGTCTTCCTTCACATTTTTCTTCAGTCTGCTATGACTACGTGTTTGTTGTAGAAATTAATATTTAAAGATACGTGACTTAGCATGGAACTTAACAGTAAACTGAATCTACTATTCTACAGTGTCAGGATGTACATTGACTTCCAGTTGGTTTTATACCTGATCAACTTTGAGAGCTGTGCTCTAAATAATTTCCTCCTTGCTATTCCCTGGACATTGCTGTGGCATTTCCTAACTCCATGCCTTTGCTGTTCATTCTACCTGCAGTATTCTTTCTTTTCTTGATAAACTCTACTCATCCTTCAGGGCCCATCTCCAATATCGCCTCTTCCCTGAAGTCCTCCCTGATACCCCTGGGCAGAGTTAGTCATTCTCCTTGGTGTTTCCCTAGCCAGAGGTAAACATTTATTTTTTTTGGACTTCCTCTTTTACCCCCTCACTTAGACTGATTTCCTTAAAGAAAAGACCAATGTCTTCACATCCAGTGTTCCTTTAGAATTTGGCAGACATTTAAAAACAAATATTTGAGTACTTGCTGTGCTCAGGCACTGTTTTAGGTGCTGGGGGGTACAGCTATGAAGAAATTTGGACAGTTGAGAGAATGGTTTAGTCAGACCTTTGAGGTCCTTGTTTGTGTTTTGTTTTCCTCATACTGACTTTTCTTGATTATGGGTATTGTTTTTCAGTTATATTCTTGATACTTTGTTTCCTGCAATACATAATGCAAATCCAAGTAGGCCACCTATGACCTATGTTCTGTTTTCTGTGTATAAGCTAGATAAGTTTTGTGTAGTATCACACAGTATCCTAAGAAGAAATGTCATAATCTCCAGCACTGTTTTGCTTCTCACTTTGAAGCTAGCACAAGTATAAGAGGTTGTATTATTCCAGGGACTTTTCATCCTTAGACTAATAAGCTATAATAACAAGAATTTTGAAATAGATAATTTTTTACCATAAAATTACTGGTTGAGTTAGCACCATTCTTAGAGGAGTTCTGGTTGCAAAATTGTACAATAGGGCAGCTAAGGAGAATAAACATTATTGAACTCTTATAAAGGCCCTCAGAAAGGTATGTTTTAACTTTGTATGTGTTACATATACTAGTGTTTAGCGTTGACTACAATGATGAACTGGATATCTTGGTGAGTGGCTCTGCAGACTTCACTGTGAAAGTATGGGCTTTATCTGCTGGGACGTGCCTGAACACGCTCACTGGGCACACGGAATGGGTCACCAAGGTAGGAAGATTTACAGGAATCTCCTTGACGTCAGGTTTTGTGAGGGTGGGGGAGTTGGGGTCGGGTGGAGGACGGTAGGCTCTGCCTTTTAAGTGGTAAATAGCCATAAGATGGAATAGATATAACCACAAAGCATGATGGTGTATAACAGTGACTCCCACATAAAAGATACTTGGTAAGTAGTTCAATGAGTGAATCATTATGGATGTGGAAAGATGCCCACAACATATGCGATGTGTAGAGAGAGCAAATAAAACAAGTTAACATGCAACTATGTAGGATATGGTACCAGTTTCCAAATGTGTTTATGCCCCAAATGTTGAAGATGATCATTTATTGTAAAATTGTGGATGTTTTTTTTCCCCTTTAGGTTTAGCATATTTCTCTTTCAGTAAGAAAAGCAATTTTCATTTTGAAAAAGAAAATAACAATTGCAAGAAGTGGGACAAAGAGAAACATACAGGATCTTTAAAAGAATATAATGATGTTTTTTTAGTTTTCAAAAAAATCTCGCTAAGTGGATCAACTGCAGTATTAATAATGGAAATGCCATGCAGAGACACTTCTCTTGAGCTTACTATGCCATTCTGTGAGGGCCTGAGGGTATAGGAGAGTGACACAAACATCAGTCTAGGAGGAGAAATAGTTATTAAACAGTAATTTCAAATAAATATATAATTACAAATTGTGCTAAGTGCTCTGAGAGAAGTGCAGTGTTCTACAGGAGTGTCTAGGAAAGTACCTATCTTAATTCTTTCAGCGAAAGCATTTTGAGAAGGGACAAAATGTGAAGAATAAAATAGGAGTTAGCTGTGTAAAGAGTAGTGGGGTGTTTCAGAGGGTGCAGTATATGCACAGGCCCTGGGATGGGAAAGAATCGAGAACATTGGATGACCTGGAAGGCCAGTGGAGTTAATGCTGGAGTTGGGAATGGTGGCCATCATGTCCACCTTACTTGCCATACTAAGGGTTTGGGATATCATAAATATAGTAGGAAGTAATTGATGAATGCTGAACAAGGGGCTGGTGTGATTTATGTTTTCAGGAAATAGTTGTTGAGTGAAAATGGACTAGAATGGGGTCCAAGTAGATACAGGGAGTCCAGTTAGGCTTTTGCAATAATCTAAGCATGGTGTGGACTTGAGTGGCAATGAAGGAAGAGAAGGGCATGCATGAGGATGTGGCTTTAGGTAGAGCCAGCTGAACTTACTGACTCATGGGGAACAAAAGATGACTAGTGGATTTCAAATTGGGTGGGTGATTGTCTTTCTCAAATAGGCAGAGCTAAGGAAGAGCAGTTAGTGAGAGCATCAATACCACTAAACTGTACACTTAAAAATTATTTTATGTTGTATGTATTTTACCACAATAAACAAATTAGGGAAAAAAATAATTCTGTATTGCGTACATTGGGTATTTAAATGGAAAATTTATATAAAACAACTTGGTGTTGTATTAAAAACAGTGGGCCTGGGAGCCAGCATACTGACCGATGTCTCAGATAAGTAGTCCTTCCTTCAGGGCCTGAGTTTCATCATCTGCTAAATTTTACTGCGAATGCTAAATGAGATGATAGGACAGTACCCAGCAGGTTGCCTGGCACTTAGTAGGTCTGTGCATTTCAGTTCATTCTGCAACCCAGTCTTCTGAACAAGTGAGCCTGGCTTCCCCTCTCACTTTGTGCTGATGTATTACAAAAAATCACTAGAACGTAGCATTTACAGGTTATCCCAAATGCTAATGGATGTTAGCTTTTATTCATTACTACCACAATTATTATTGCTGTTAACATTGTTTTATTTCATTTCACTGTAGTTTTATGAGATAATAAGTGCCTTACCCCTATTTTAAAGATGAGGAAAGTGAGAAACAGAGAGGCCAGATTGTTGTGCTCAAGGTTGCAGAGTCAGCAGATGGCGATTCTGACCCCACGTCCAGTGCTTTTTCCTTTCAGTGCACATGCTTAGGAAAACAGATCATTTGTATCTACTTCCATGTCTGTGGACTTTTTCTTGCCTATTCCTCATATTTTCTATTAAGTGACATTTTATAATTTTCAAAATCAGTTCTAATGCTTGCTTCCAGATAAAAGCTAAGATTAAATGCTGACATTACAGACACTTTAGATCCTGCTGATCATTTAGAGAATCTGGTTGTAATAAAACTCTTAGTAGAAGTTAAGTTGGCCATAGAGTTATAGCTTAGCTATTCTAACATACATATCAAATTCTTTTTCCCATTTTAATTTTAAAACAATATAGGAATAACATTAGAAAGGATCCTTCTGTAACATGGAGGTTTATATTTCTAGGTGGTTTTGCAGAAGTGTAAAGTCAAGTCTCTCTTGCACAGCCCTGGAGACTACATCCTTTTAAGTGCGGACAAATATGAGATTAAGGTGAGGCTTTTTTTCCCTCCATTAATTAGCCTCATCAAAGAAAAACTGGCAAATACAAGAAAATTAAAATGGTGTGGCAAAGGGGATATTTCAAGGAAGACAGGAATGTGTTGGTCCAAGCCATCTTAAACCCATTGAGAAGAGAATTACTCATTATTTCTATGTTCTAGTAACCTTGATTTGTAAGTGAAGGAACAAAAATAGGTGAAAGGGATTAAGAGGTACAAAGTTCCAGTTATTAAGTAAATAAGTTGTGAGGATGAAAAGTACAGCATGGGAATATAGTCAATACTATAGGAGCTTTCTATAGTAACAGGTGGTAATTATACTTCTGGTGAACATTTTGTAATGTATATGAATGTCAAATCACTATGTTGTACACCTGAAATCAATGTTACATTTTATGTCAACTGTACTTCAATTTAAAACAAAAGAAAAAATATTCCATGGAAATTTTTCAGTGCTTGTTTTCTTAAGACACATGCCTCTCACCACCTCAATTCTTAGTTTGAAACTGAAAACATAAATATTTATGTGTATAATAATAAAAACAATTTGTATAAGCTTGATAGAGCACTCATATGCATTCTCAGTGGATCTTTTAAACTATTTCATGTGGTAGGCACTATTCATTGTAGGAACTGAGGTTCAGAGAAATTCTTTTACCTAAGATTATCAAACATATATATATATATGCAGAACTAGAGCTTGAACCCATGCTTCTCATCTGTAAAACTGGTAGTCTTTCTAGTTTATTTCACTTTGTATCTGACTTGGGCAAACACAAGCCACATTGTTTAAGGACAAATTTTTCTGTGGTGATGTGATCTGTCATCTTTCCTAATTTTCTTTTATCTGCAGATTTGGCCTATTGGGAGAGAAATCAACTGCAAGTGCTTAAAGACATTGTCTGTCTCTGAGGATAGAAGTATCTGCCTGCAGCCAAGACTACATTTTGATGGCCAATACATTGTCTGTAGCTCGGCACTGGGTCTCTACCAATGGGACTTTGCCAGTTATGATGTCCTCAGGTAATGTTTTTTTGGACCTTTACCTTTGACAGTCTCTTCCAGTTCATTTCTTTATTGTTTTTGGTACAGTTTACTAGTAAAGAGAAGACTAAATATTTGGATAAACCAGTCAATAACTTGCTTTTGGGAAATGTTAACTACATCAGTTATAAACAGGGTTATATGCTGAAAATCTCACAAAAATTTTTTAATGACAGTAATTGAAAAAAGTTATATGCTAGATCTCAGTTCTAATAACTTCCCTTACTCTGGGTCACTTCCCCTTTCAGAATTTAACATGCTTTTCTGAAAATTGAGAGGCTTAGATGGAAAGATCTTTCAGATCTCCTCTAATATTTTAAACTCTACTTCCTGGTCAGATGAACTTCTGCATTGGGGGATCAGGTGGCCTTCTGTTGGCTAGTAGAAAGGCAGAGGTATTTAGAGAGAAATACAACTTGCAGGGCTTCTCCAAAGAAATAAGTAAGAAGAGTTCCGTGGAGAAATGATTTTGTCTCACTGCAACACACCATAGATCGCTCTTGAAGGTTGGTGGCATCTGTTAGCATATCGGAGCCTGATGGAAGCCAGTGCCTTATGGTCATTAAGAGAACTTATGCTTTGGTGATGAACAAACCTTGGTTTAAGACCTGTGCCATCTCTAATGAGCTGTGTGATTTCATATAAGTTTCTTAACTTTTCTGTGCCTCAATTTCCTCACCTGTGAAGTGAAGATTAAATTAAATGCCTGTAATAAGGACCTAGCATAGGACCTGGCAGATCTTTATTAGTGAATGCCCTATGTAAAGAAACCTGTTTGAATTTGTTTACCCTGACTGTATCTTCACACTTCCTGTTCACAAAGCCCTTTTTTTTGAGGACTACCTATTAAATCACAGCATTAGTCTCTAGCATGATTTGGAAAACTCTGGCTTGGGGAAGTACAGAAAATCAAACGTTCTCTGCATTGCGTTTATGCATGACTGTTTGAGGTCAGCTTGTATGGGATCTGGTCATACTAGCCAGCAGGAGTTTGGCAGGCTCTGTCTCTGTTTTCATAAAGTTACAACCCCATTTATGTCTCTGTCTCTTCCTGGAGTCAGACCTACATTTCTAACCAGTTTGTTTCTGAATCAGTTTGTTCTAGAAATAATTCATAATTGTGCTTTGAGAAAAAAACCTGAAACAGATTCTAGAAAACATTAGTCCAAGTTCTTCATTTTATAGATGGGGATATTGAAGCTGAGAGAGGGTAGGGTCCTTGCCCAACATCCCACATCTCACCCTAGTCTAGCATGCATCTGTCTATCCATCCACCCATCCATCCATCTATCCATGGCTGGATCATCCAGCAGGCAAATGCTTAAGGTACCAGTAAGCCAGAGAGAAGGAACTTTTGAAAGAACTTGATACTTTGAAAAGAAAAAAAATCCAAGTAGTCACCATGGGAAAATACAGATCTTCTACAGTTTAGGATTGTTTTGTTTTGAATTAAAATTTAATAGGGAGGGGTGTAGAGGCAAGATGGAATAGTGGTATCATAATTTTAATGCCTAAAGTCTCCAAATATTTTCAATTGATCATTCATCTACCTTTCTCATATATGCTTCTTACTCAGAATCACATATAAAGAGAGTCCAGAGTCCACAATGAAAGTGCTTTTTGTTTTTGATATTTGGGTACACTAGCTTTAAGCAGTAAACCCATGAAATTGCTACTAGGAAATGTTAGGTTCAGATTTTTCTTTGAGAAGGGGCTATTTTCTCTCTTGCTTTTTCCCTTCAAACACAAACCAGCCTCTTTTGAAATCTTAGTACAAATCCTGTGGCCTCAGTTGCAAGGACCAGGTAGAGCTACTTACGCTTTGAAGTTAACTGAAAAGAAGCAAAACACAGATGACAGCTTATTGCTCAGCAAATCGAAGATATGACACAGTCTCTTAAACTAGGTTATCCCAGCACAGCTGGCGGGGTTTTTTAGGTTCAAGAGCCCAGAGTGCACAGCAGGGATGTCTCTTAACAATTCCAAAGTAATCAATAAAAGAGGCTCTGAGCCTGTCAAAACCTGTGTTCTATTCTGCAACATACTGTGCTTCTGTCTTTGGAGTCAGTTAATCTTCACCAGGCTAATGTCCTATTCCCTGGCCACCCAGTTTTCTAAGTTTCTGGTTATTTCCTGCTTTGCCTTGTGATATGATGTGGCACTTACCAGACTTTCTTGCTGTGTTTCCCATTTTCCTTCAGGTCTCTCTGGAGAAGTTTTTGTTTGCCTGTGTTCATTGTGCCTTTGCTGTGTTCATTAGCAGATACTTACTGAGCACTTGCCTGTGTGCTAGGCACTGTGGGATACACTGGGGACCACAGAAACACTAACCCAACCCAGGGAAACTACTACCCAGCAGGAGAGCAGACGGACATTAGGCACCTAATCACACAGCTGTTTTAATGGCCAGGCTAAGCGCAGCATAGTACGGAGTACTTTGAGACCCCAGCTAATTGGAGGACTAAGAAAAGCTTCTTTGAGGAAGAGACTCAGTCTGAACCCTAAAGGACGGGCATGTGCATTAACTAAGTGCCAGGCCTGGGCATGCAGTGAGGGGTGGTGTACACTGAGCCCAAGGAGTCTGCTGCATTTGAGGATCTGAAAGGCCAGTGTGGCTGGAGATGTGAGTGCAGTAGAGAGCCATCCAACAGATTAAAAGTTTAAACGGGATGGTAATAGAATTAGACTTCAGTATGAGGTTTACTGGTTGAAAGGGGCCAAGAGTAGATGTGGGGAGCCCATTTGAAAACTGTTGGCAGTAACGCAGGCAGAAGACCATGTCTTGGATCAGAGTTGTGGCAATTCAAATAGTAATGAATAAATGAGAGGAAAATTTAGGAGGTAAAATCAATAGCTCTTAGTGATTGAAAGTGTGGTCTGAGTAAGGAGGAGAGTTGGATGGTTGCCATATTTCCTAGCTTGAGCAGCTGGATGAATGAGCAAGCAAGGAAATAAAGAAGAGAAACTGGTTTGGCCCAAAGTTCAGTGTTGGGCAAGTGGAATGTGAGAACAGGTCTTCCTCACTACGGAATCTCCTCCCTTCCAGTACCCTTCCTGATACCAAACTGCAATCTGCTTGTGTGTGACTCCTCCCCTTGGAGAACCGAGTTCTCTCTTCCAGGACTCGTCGTGTCTGGCCGCCCGCACATCCTTCACTGTTTAAAGACGATGATCATATACGGGTCCCTTGTCCCTGACAATTCTTTTCCTCCCCCTCAGCTGGTCTTCAGCCGTTTCTTCTTGTCCTGGTTACCAGGTCCTGCCCATCCTGGCTGACCTCTTGGACAGACACTGGTCGGCAGTGTTCCTGGTAAAACACAGGCTAACCTAGTATCTCTCAGGAGCCCAAACTCCTGAGCAGCAGTATCTGTGCCTTCAAAGAGGACACCAGCTTTGCCTGTCAGCCTTTTGCCCCACTGGTGTGCAGACAGCAGAGACAAAGGTTTTCCCATTTGTGCCGCTGTTTGTTAGTCTTTCCCGTTTTGTGCCTTTGTCATCAGTGTTCCAACTGATGGGAACTGCCAACCTGAGGAGGCTAAGGTTGTCCTCCTGACTTCCTGGTTTTCTTTGACAACTTCTTATACATCTGTTATTAATGTTTCTGAATTATAGGGAACTTCTAATATTTTCAGCCTCTACTGTTCTTAGATAGGAACCCGTGTGTTTGCTCCCTGCTGGTTAGAGAGTGGTCACTTGGGTTTCAGTCTGGCTTCTGGCTTCAGGAGATCCCTGAGGCCAGTGTTCTAGGGTTTGATGAGTAAATCGTCTTAACCTGGTGGTAGTTTAGTCTTGCATTCTAATTCTAACTGGTAGCTGCGTAGTTGTGAATCCTTAGCTAAAGTATTTACACTGGCTGAATTTCAATTTTCACATCTTCTAAGATGTTAAATGAGATTATCTGTAAGAACCTTTCCAGCCTGGATGGGCGGGCACTTTATGCTTTTATAAGTGTTGATCAGACACCTCCTTTCTCCTAACATGCTTGTGCTATCATACCATTATGAAGGGTTCTTCCATCCCCCTGCTTTTTTAAGTAGGCTGTGCTTTTTGTCCTCATGTTTTCTTACATTCTTTTTCATCAAAAACTTTTATTTACGACTCCGTAAATTTGCTTGAGTTTTGTATTGGTTTTTAAAGGTCTACAGGAAAGATTACAGTAGCGTAAACAGAATTGCCTTCTAGTTCATGTTTCCTAACTCTCATCTCTGTAGGGTCATCAAGATTCCTGAGATAGCAAACTTGGCCTTGCTTGGGTTTGGAGATATCTTTGCTCTGCTGTTTGACAACCGCTACCTATATATCATGGACTTGCGGACAAAGAGCCTGATTAGCCGCTGGCCACTGCCAGAGTACAGGAAATCAAAGAGAGGCTCAAGCTTCCTGGCAGGCGAAGTGTCGTGGCTGAATGGACTGGATGGGCACAATGACTCAGGCTTGGTCTTTGCCACCAGCATGCCTGACCACAGTATTCACCTGGTGTTGTGGAAGGAGCACGGCTGATGCCACCAGCTGCCACCGCTGACTGACTTTGGGTGCCAGGGCTGCGGGTTTTGAGTGCAACCTCTGTGGCAGCCGACTGCATGAACCAAAGTTCTCACCTAATGGTATCATGACGCAGTGCACAATCATTTATCTACGTTTGCCAGGGGGCCAGGGCTCGGGGTGGGGGAGGGGTTGTTTTATTGACATACAACGCAGCATGCTAATGGGGGACACCATTGACTTCATTTGTACTTAGTTATGTTGGTCAGTAAAAGAGGATGCATTTTGGGTTCATCTTTCTTGAATTTTGGTTTTAAGTAAAGAAACTTAACTGGTTCATTAATCTGCTAATTGGTTGCCTATAAAAACACATTCAATCTATTATTAAAGCTTATCATCACCTTTTCTCTTTTGAAGTTGAAGCAAAGGTACAGCAGCTTCTCTCACATGGGGCTTAGCTTTTTAACAACCAGTATTACAAAGACCACTGAGTCCTGTGCATTCAAAAACTCTCCACCAAATACCAGTTATATAAGGAAAGTCTGTCTTCCAGTACAAATCCAGTTCTATAAATGGATTGTTGACAACCCATTCTGGGCCCTCACTCCTGGCCAAGTCAATGTTGGTCGTGTCTGGGATGTGAGGGAGTTCTGGAGTTTTTGTTTCCATGTGGAGCAAGTTGGTCTTCAGTGCTCCACAGCCTGGGTGACCGCACAGAGGTGACGTGGATGGTACAGTGCAAAGAGTACTGAACTGGAAGATTAAAGACTGACTCTGTTACCTAGGAAACCTGCCACCTCAAGCATGTCACTTCTCTGGGCCCCATTTTCTCTGTCTGTATAGCCAGGTGTTAAGTGAGTGCTGAAATTCTTTCTGGCTGTATCTACTAAGGTGTGTAAAAGTTGATATTTTCAGTTTTTTCTGATTTACTAATTCTTTGGGGTTGGAGATAATATTTAAATGAAATAATTGATGAAACATGTTACCTATAGGGAAATCAAATATACAAAAAGGATGGATAAGAAGGGAATGTAGAAAATACAACAGATTCCACTTACAAAAATGTAAGACATTGGTGGAAGAAATACTGAGAGGAGAGAGGCACTGTGCTCTATGAGAAAAAAAGATGCCTACCTTGACTTCTCCTTGTTTGCCTCTTAATCGATGTGTGGCCTCAGGCAGATTAGCCTTCTGTCCCTGGACCCTCATTTTCTTCATCTTTAAAATGAAGGAATTGCTCTAGATGAGAGTTCAGAAACTCACATGCCCAGGGGAGGAGCCAGGCAGGTAACAGATGCATGAAGCATTCTGGGCACCATGGTGCGGAACCCCGGAAAGCTTATCTATAACAGGGCTGCTCAGCCCCAAGAGTTAGGCAGAAATGAGCCCAATATTGGCAGGTCTTAAGATTTTTCAGGAGGAAGCAGAAATCCAGATTTTTATTTGAAATCTCCCAATTTTTAAAATGTTGACAACTAACTGAAGGTAATTTAAAATACAGTGAGCTAAACAAAATGTGTGCCCTGGCTGCCACTTTGTATTCTCCACCCTCATTCCTGTAAAGTTAAGTAATTCTGTGATTCAGCAGTGGAAATATTTTTAACATCATTGTCACAAACATTAGGAAACAGAGGAAGCAAGCAGGGACATTTCAGCTCTTTCCCATTCTGTTACCGGGTGAGGGGACTTTTCCCTTCACAGACCAACAGGAAAGTGTGAAGGTGAATGTAAGGTCTAGAACCTCAGTTCCAGCCTCTGCCTGGGAATGTGAGTTACTCACTTCTACTGACGCTGCTATAAAGCATATCCATTTTCCAGGTGGGAAGAAGGGTTGCTGGCAGTCTGAGAATGAGGCAAACCCTCCGCCAGAATCCACATAAATATAGAGCCTGGCAATGGACCTTTGAATGTTGTGAAGTTAATATTTTAGACTTAATGGTTGGTTTCAAGGACAAGTTTAATTTCCATGTTGAGACTGTAAGGAATTAGGAAAAAGAAGTTTTTTCCTCCATACCCAAAATCCAACTCACATTTTCTGTGCATGAACTCTGCTTGGTCTTCCAAGAAAGGAAACCAGACTTGCAGCTGGAATCTATTTTGCAGAAGCCTCGGGAAACTTGAGGCAATGATGAGGGTAAATGACTTTCTCCTTTTTGTCCAACCTGCACCAATCACTGAGATTACTGATCTTATGACCATCCCCACACCCACTCACTTCCACATCGATCCAGTAGTTTCAACGGGGCAAATAAGCATAGGTATTTGTGGGACTTTTTTTTTTTTATGACAAGCCTGAGACTTGTCTGGTGTGTCCCATCCCATTCTCAGTGGTGAGCACCTGAGCCGTCATCAGGGTGGTGCTTGGTTCTGCTGATTTTGACAGAAAGACGTACCAGAGGCAGTGGTTGGGAGTCCCAGTAACCTTGATTGCTCCTCAGAAAAGCCTTCATTTCACCTGAGCATTTTATTTGTTTTATATATTCATACTATTGCTAGCTTTTATAAAAATGGAAAACTCATCCTTTAAAAAAAATTAAGCAGAGGGTCAGGGAGTGGTGGGTAGGGGGTAGCTAAAGCTGCAGTTCTTAGACCCCTTTGGTGGAATTGGGGGCTGTCTTCCACACAATGACTTCTGCTTCCTTAGCCAGAGGCAAGGGAATTGTCTCTACCTCTTTTGTGAATATTCTCATTTCTGAAAGGATCTCAAGTCATGAGCAGATAGACTCCATCCTGTCTTATGAGCACTGAATTTTTTTTTAATTAAAATATCATTGACAGACAATCTCATGAAGGTTCACATGAACAACACTGGTTTCAACATTCACCCATATTATCAAGTCCTTAGCCACACCTCCTCCACATTGCAGTCGCTCTGTCAGCACAGTAAGATGCTGTAGAGTCATTACTTGTCTTCTCTGTGCTGTACTGCCTTCCCCGGAGCACTGGATTTCTTGAGTGACATTGTGTTATGGTGGAAGCGAGGGCCTCTTGGGTTCATAAAGGGTGCCGTAACTTCAGGCTCCAGGGTGAGGATGGCCCGGAAGCTGAGGGAGTGGGAGATTTTAGAATTACCAAGGAAGGGGGTTTTCGTCCTTGGGTCCTTGGAGTAGTGTTGTCAAGACTGGCCCTAAGCTGACCTTTAGACGTATCAGAGAACTAGGAAGGAGGACTTCCTTTGGGGGCAGGACTGAAAAGTTCACAGGAAGGTACCTGTGTTTGGATAGCTTTTCGTAAGTGGAAGGTGGTGAATATTGCTATTAAATTTTAAGGTTTGTCCTTCATTTTTCGTAACTTAAAAATTACTCTGTTGCTGTTGCAAACCCTTTGTCAAGTGTGAATAAGGATTATGTAATCATTCTCACATTTGCTCTCAGGAGGATGATTACTGCTATGCATTTGTAAAAACATCTTAGGGAGAAGAAAATATCTTTGGAAACAGTATTATTTTACTCATGAAGTAATTGTTTCTGTTAGGTTAGGCAGTACGACCTAACAGAAGTAGCTAAGGGTGGTTTTACATGTTGGCCCAAACCCAGCCAGCTCCTTGAAGCTGTGATTTTGTGCCCTGGCTTCATGGGAACCTAGAGATGAACCCCCAACCCCATGATTCTTCCAGCTTTCTATGCCTCTTCTGGCTTCTTGCAGACCTAGGTGGCCTGCAAGTGCCTTTGTAGTGAAGTGTGCAGAATCAGATCACTGCTATAGGATGCAGTCTGCGATGGCACACTGTCACCTTTGCCTTTGGGGACACTAAGAAGCCTTTTAGGTCTGTCCCCTTGACATAGCCTTGACACATAACCTGGTTAGGCTGGTGCTTGCTGAGATCCTTAAGACAACCGAGACACTTGAGAATTATGCAGTTCCCAGATAGTGTCTGATGAATGAACAGATCAGCATTCTTGACAGAAATGTCCCCTAGCCTTCTTTGGCAATGTCCCATCAGAGGTTCCCTTGTGCCTACTCTGGGAAGGTGAATTTTTTTCAGAATAATCCGCAGATGGATTTCTGGATCATCTTTGCACTGCTCCTATCAGCCTAATCAGGCTGAGTGATCATGCTCAGTGCAAAAAGGGATTTTGCTGTCAAGTTTCAATGTGCTTCTAGTCTTCTGTAGAAAGATTTAGTTGCTTGAAGTTAGTATTACAATCCTGACGTGTGTAAACCCACTTAATTATTGCAGCTTAAAGAACCCAGTTACTTCTACTCTTCATGAATGTGCTTAAATAAGAATCTGGTTTTGATATTTAAACCTGGCAATTCAGATGATTAAAAACTACAATTATTTGGTGTCCCTAATGTGTCACATTGTGAACACATTTCACTAACTTGGACTTTATACACTTGATGAGAAGGCTCAGGTTGAAATAGGCTGGTCTCACTAATACAATATCTTTATCAACGTGGTAGAATTCATCAGTTCATGTTTCACTTTGATTTGACGTATGATCTAGGGGGAATGAGGTGAAGTTTCTATTTGACCTGTGTGGGGTGGCAGAAGGAGGGATTGCTTAAGCAAATAGTGGAGTGAATGTGGAACAAGGTGCTTCTTATAAGATGAGAGGTTTTCATGCATCATAGAAGCATTTTTCACCCCCAAGTGATTGTGCTAACTATAAATCTTTATCTATACATGAAAGCAGATTCCCTTCATTAGGCAACATTTGGTTAGCCAAGCCCAAGTATTGTTTGTACTTGAAAGTAATAAAGCTGCATTTCCTTAAAAACACATTCTATTTAAGTCTGTTTTCTTGCTCTGCCCCCCTCCCCAGCTAATTCAGACGGAACTTCACAAAAGTGTGCGTTTTAGAAGGTGGTGTTTCAGAACTGACCCTCCTGTAATCTGAGGTGGCTCCGTTCTTTCACTGTTTCTGCATGTTCTAGAATGTAAGCCCAACAATATGACAATTTCAGAATGCAGTCCAAGAGGGAAAACAATATGTTTAAAAGCAAAATGCAAGGAAGGATTTTTTGGCGACCTTCACAAGCAGCTTCAGATGGCAGGGGCAAGTACCACTCTGCAGCTTCCAGACCTTGGAACTCGCTTCCTCTCTTTCGCCCTCCTCTCTTGGCACATCCCCTAGTCGGTTCATTCTTTCTTCTTAATTTATATTTGTAGGGTTCCTTGTCATTCACCAGACCTGGTCCTGTATCTTTGATCCCCAACAGCACCGTTTTAGGGCAGATCGTCATTCCTGTTTTACAGTGGAGAAAGCTGAGGCTTGGAAAAGTGGCCAGTTGCTTAGAGGAGGAGTAAGTGGTGAGGATGAAGCTGGGGGCCCTGATTTTTTCCTACCTTTCCTTGTTACCCTTCTCATTCTCTCCCTACTTCAAGTCTCTTCAATCCAAACCTGGACTGCTGCCTTCCCCCTTTCACCACTTGTGCGCGCTTTTCAGACCATCGTACACTCTGCTGCTGGGCCATTTCCCCAACTAGTCCGCTGAGCACATGGCTACTCCGTTCAAACAGCTTCAGTGACTCCCTATTCCCGACCACAGGTGTCTAGATTTATTAACCAAAGTAACTTGAGTCCCAGCTCATCTCTTGTCTTCACACAGTTCTTGCTCTTTTGTTACCTTGGATCCTTGGGGCTTTTCCTGTCCTCGTGGAAAAGGCCTCCATGTTCCTTTCCACCATCCCGGGCCAGCTGGAAGGATCCCACTGACCTCCCACTATCTTTAATAAATCCTCTGCTGACCAACATCCCTGACTCGGCCTGACTCAACGTTTATGTCTAGCGTAGTTGTGCAATCCGTTTGGCAGTTCATCACGTACCTTTTGCAGTTGGCAAACCATTAACTTTCACCCTTGATCCACACATTTTTCAAAATACAGGTGAATGCCTTGTCTACCCAGCAATACTGTAAGATTGAGTTCCTACATCATGCTCCATAAATTCTTGATAAGCTATTTTAA